TGTTCTTCCTCCCCTCCCCTCAGCTTCTCCCTCTCCTTTGCTACCTTCTTCTCATCCGTCTCACACTGGCGCACTGCTCATTAGCTTTCTGTCAGTCTTGGTTTCTGTCTCCCACTCCTTCTCTTTTTCTCCCTCTCTCAATTCCTTTCTCCTCTGCTGTCATCCACTCCCCCCACCCTCCCCACCACCAATTCTTCTTTTCTTCTGTGATTTCAACAAAAGTTTCTTCAGGGATCTCCTTCATTTTCATCACTCTCTCCTATGCTCGCCATTTTCTCACCTTCCTTCTTTTCTTTCTCACCTTTCTTTCTCGCCCGCGTCTCCCTCCGTCTGTCCCCTTGTTCCGCTTTGTGAAAATGCTTTCTGTAAGAATTGAAAGTAGGCTCTGAAGCCGCCACCCACATTCCTGCTAAACACACGCTCACACATAAACAAGAATCGTGACTGTCTGTGCCCATAAAAGCCAGAGTGAGACGGCAAACGTACACTAGTGCTGAAGACAAAAACACTGCTGTGTACTTGTGATCACAGAGAAGTTCATAAAGATACATGTAAACCAACATGAAGCAGAGGGATAGCCACGAGCATGAGGCAGCTGAGAAAAATTAAAGGGGAAAGGGTGCTTGGGAACTTGAGCTTCTTATTGAAATGGCTTTTAAACAGGCGTCTTCATGAGTTCAGCTTCACTCCTCTAGAAGGGAATTCAAATCCTCCCATCTGTCCACCAATCACACTCACTGATCCTTCTTTAATACTTCCTTCTGTTAGAGGAAAACACCCAAGACACCGTCCCTACAAACTGGGCCCACAGACAGCACTGTCTATATCCTTGTTTACTTCACAAGTCAGGGTTGTCCTCGGTTAAGCTTTAAGCATTAAAAATTGGGATAACTTGAAAAAACTGACATTTAAATACTTCTAATCTAATAACATTTCTTCTTGGTGTATCATTTAAAGCACTTCACTCACTTGTTGCTGTAACTATTAGGATGGATGATTAGGAGAAAAACTTCAAGTTCAAATGAATTCATTTAAGCACATATTGTAACTCGGGCTGCAAGTAATCACATAACACAACATGGCAAAGCTCTCGAATGTTTGGCTACTTTTGGAGTTGTTGAATTGTTTTACAGTAGAGCATCACTGATGCAAACGGCACTGTACAACAAAGCTGAGATGAAACTGACATCACAGCCGCTTTTACAAGCCGCCATTACTGGATGCTGTGCACCTCTCGAGTTTTGTAAACCCGGTGTGCCGCGCAGTTGGAACAGAGTGGAAGACACAATTGTTCAACTGTGTTGGTTTTTACAGCTATTTTAATGATATGTCAGGGGAAAAAAGCAATTTCTTTGCTTCTGGTTTTGACGCGTTCACCTTTTGTACCAGTGCAATGTGGAGGCATTGTCTGAGCAGCTGCAGCTATCGTTCAGGAGGGATAACAGCGAGCATGAAGGGTTGTGGCTGTGTGATGAGGTCACCTGCGTCCATGTTGTCTCACTTGGTTTTTTAATATTCACACCTACAGATGAACTCATCATCTGTATAAAAGACACCTGTCCACAGCCTCAAACAGTCAGACTCCAAACTCCGCCATGGCCAAGACCAAAGAGCTTTCGAAGGACACCAGGAAAAGTATTGTAGACCTGCACCAGACTGGGAAGAGTGAATCTACAATAGGCAAGCAGCTTGGTGTGAAAAAATCAACTGTGGGAGCAATCATCAGAAAATGGAAGACATACAAGACCACTGATAATCTCCCTCGATCTGGGGCTCCACGCAAGATCTCATCCCGTGGGGTCAAAATGATCATGAGAACGGTGAGCAAAGATCCCAGAACCACACGGGGGGACCTGGTGAATGACCTGCAGAGAGCTGGGACCAAAGTAACAAAGGTCACCATCAGTAACACACTACAACGGCAGGGAATCAAATCCCGCAGTGCCAGACGTGTTCCGCTGCTGAAGCCAGTGCATGTCCAGGCCCGTCTGAAGTTTGCCAGAGAGCACATGGATGATACAGCAGAGGATTGGGAGAATGTCATGTGGTCAGATGAAACCAAAGTAGAACTTTTTGGTATAAACTCAACTCGTCGTGTTTGGAGGAAGAAGAATACTGAGTTGCATCCCAAGAACACCATACCTACTGTGAAGCATGGGGGTGGAAACATCATGCTATGGGGCTGTTTTTCTGCCAAGGGGACAGGACGACTGATCCGTGTTAAGGACAGAATGAATGGGGCCATGTATCGTGAGATTTTGAGCCAAAACCTCCTTCCATCAGTGAGAACTTTGAAGATGAAACGAGGCTGGGTCTTCCAACATGACAATGATCCAAAACACACCGCCCGGGCAACAAAGGAGTGGCTCCGTAAGAAGCATTTGAAAGTCCTGGAGTGGCCTAGCCAGTCTCCAGACCTCAACCCCATAGAAAATCTGTGGCGGGAGTTGAAAGTCCGTGTTGCTCGGCGACAGCCCCAAAACATCACTGCTCTCGAGAAGATCTGCATGGAGGAATGGGCCAAAATAGCAGCTACTGTGTGTGCAAACCTGGTAAAGACCTATAGTAAACGTTTGACCTCTGTTATTGCCAACAAAGGTTATGTTACAAAGTATTGAGTTGTATTTTTGTTATTGACCAAATACTTATTTTCCACCCTGATTTACGAATAAATTCTTTACAAATCCTACCATGTGGATTCATGGATTTTTTTCACATTCTGTCTCTCACAGTTGAAGTGTACCTCTGGTGCAAATTACTGACCTCTGTCATCATTTTAGGTGGGGGAACTTGCACAATCGGTGGCTGACTAAATACTTTTTTGCCCTACTGTAGTTATCGTTTATTGTTGCTTAATTCAAATCAGCAGCCTACGTATGACCCTGATATTAACTGCAAATATTAATGGTAATAGTCACCGGAAAAGCTTCATAATACTTTCATTTATAAATTGTTGATTTGTGTGTAATTTTAAAGTTTTGCACAAGAAAATGCAAATGTTTCAAATCTGCATTAACATCACTTTTACTTAGTGCTCTCAAGCTGCTTCCATTAAAATGAGTCACACTCTGTGACCTTTTCCACTGTAACATTTACTGTAATTATAGGCTGTGTGTTAGACGTAAGACTCTATACACCTGTCATTTTAACATAAATAATGAATTATACCTTACTTAGCCGTTCTTCAAATGCTCAGTAAGTACATCATGAGTAATTCTTCCCCATTCAGAAATCACAAGTTTCCTACTTCAGTTAATAGTGGAGCTCTCTTGTCTTAATATGCGAAGGTCAAGCACAGCAAATGACCAAAACATTGTCATTGTCACATTGACACAGTGGCAGTTAGTGCTGAGGCGAGCAGCTGAAGGGCACTCAGCTTCTTGCCACTACGCTGATGGGCTGTGGAGTGGAAATGTAAAGTGCCACTAATTTCACTGTCAGAAAGTCATTTACAAATAAACCGTACTGCTGCTCGCCGTAAAACAGCTCTCAAACCATCATAGGTGTGTAGCGACACTAGTGGCCTGCAAAACAGGCAAAGGACAGCTCTGTAAAAACGGACAAATATACAGTTTAGACGTATTTACATTTGATTTTTTTAACTTTGCCATGCATCAGCTACAAATATCAACATTAATACTACTAATGATAATATTTTGACCTTAATTAACTTACAGAAAACATACATTGTTTCAAATTGATCATTTTTCTGAAACCATGATATTTCGAATGAATGAATGAATGAATGAATGAATGAATGAATGAATGAATGAATGAATGCTGCTTCCTCTTCACAATTGATTACCACTGTGGGTAGCTCCATGTGTCTGATTTGGCAGTTTTAAACCAGGATGCCCTTCCTGACTTAACCTCAAAAGGGATTTGCGTCTCTGGTTTGAATTGCACCAGTGACCTTTTGCTTACCAAGCAAATGTGTAACTGACTACACTACAGACGCACACAGAAACAATGATTCCTCATAATGGAAAAAAATCAAAGAATTTTAAAAGGTTTGTTGAAATTTTCACCTTTCGCAGTTAGATTTTGCTCATCTAATTCTTCCTTAGTACTCTAATTTGGTTTGTTAAAAAGCAACTTGTGGAATAATGGTAAATGAACTGGTTCTTATAAACTTTGTCGTAATTTTATTGTTTTCTGCATTTAGGTGCTTTCTATCACACACATTCACACTCTAGTGAATATATCAGGAGCAACTCGGGGTTCAGTATCTGGCTCAAGGATACTTTGGCATGCAGAATGGAGCAGCGAAGGAACGAAAATATCCAACTTTTCAATTAGTCGATGACTTGCTCCATCCTGCTCCACCTCTGGAGCCATAGCTATCCCAAAACAATATAATCAGCAGTGCTACCCCTCAGCCTACTAGTAGCTGCAATCATGTAATGAATTTGGAAATCATACATTGCCTTGTTCTCATGTTATTGTGTTCAGAAAGCTTGACCTTTTACCTTGAGGTTGAGGTCACCGAGATTCAACGGGATGAATTTGAAAATCCTACTGCGCCTACTTTGTTGTCATATTCAAAAACTTGGGTGTCTACGCCACCCACCCACCCAACAGGGTGACAACAAAGCAAGGATCTGTAAAAATCAGCAGTAAAAGGCTGATGGGTTATTGTTTACAACTGTAAATAAATCTGTAAATGATCTGAAAAATCTGAGTATGTTGATGGCTTTCATTTACAGATCCTTGCTTTGTTCCTGTTATCATGTTTTCTAAAGTTTGAAAAAAACCTGCTGTAACTGAAAGCAAATTACCACGTGATGTTTGGACTGTACCATAAACTAGTGCTGCAGTGGTGAGTGGTAGTGAGTTCTCAGTAGGGAAACCAGGTGGGGAAAACAAATGTGCTTTCACAAAAACTCTAAGGTTCCCACAAACAGAAAGCAGAAACATTTTTGGTGAGTAATCCGACGTAACAAGAGAACCTCAACCCACAAAATATCGAACCTCTGGAAGGAAAAGTTTTTCAAAAATACCTCTGTGAGTGCTTGGTGAATGGAACAAGCAGTTTGAGATGAAACCTCCCAAGGCGTTTTCTCATTCACCATGATGGCATCCAGGGTGGCCTTCTCTAGTATGACATCAAAGGAGGAATCCGGGAAGGAGAGCTGACGCACGTCCATCTGATGCCATGTCATACCTGAGCAGTGGCTGTACCTGGCGCTCATTGTCCTGATGCACACAGATGAATAATCTATGTTGGCAATAGTATGATAGCCAGCGCTGTACATGTCACCACTCATACTGCTGTTTCCGCAACCTGTGGAAGAGCAATAAAACAAAGTGAGCCAGTGCCAGGTGAAAAGTGCAAGACACATACAAGAGATGAAAGGTCAGGAGGGGAGATGGCACGGGGGAGAAGGGAACATAAAAGGATAAGTCCGAATCCGATGTTTCAAATGACCCATATATTTTTCAAGTTGCAGTTATACAATCACATGATCACTATAGCATAATGTAATTGCATAAAGCCTTCCAAGGCACCGCACAAGAGACACACACAAAGTCTCTGTTTCATCAAACTTATTTAGTATGAAACCTCACACTTCAGGGCGGTCATGTAAATGTGCGTTCAGAGGGTGCAGCTCATGCTGAAGTGATGTCAGACTCATGAGATCATCGCCAGCTACAAGGTTTCAACTTTGTCACCAAGCACCACGTGCACGAAACCCGAGCATCCAAATAAAGAGGACAAAAGAAATGTAAGGGTAACAAGATGAAAATAATCTGCTGAATGCAGATTCTCACCTTTTTGAATCATATGACTCAAATCATGCAGTCGGAGGAGGAGCAGTGGGTGGAGATGATAGGAAAGGAGGGAAAGAAAAGAGTAGGAGGAGGACTTGTGGGGGACATACACCATGTTGATGCACATGTTCTGTTTGCTGTAAAGCTGAAGATGTGTGTTGTGTCAAGCATGATCACATTTTCTTGCACTTTTTAAAGCACGCATGGGCATGCATCTGTATTTAAGAGTTATCCGTCCGGGGAGGGAGGAAAGTGTGATAAAGTGCGGGGCTGTGATATCCAGCAGCATGTTGGCATCGACACCTCGGTTGCAAACGTGTGGCTGGCGCTTGTTATCACCTTACTGCTTCTACTAATTACCAGCCTGAAAAAACCCCATGTGTGTCTGAGTGTGTGTGTAAGTGTCTGCAGCCTCACACTAAAAACACATTTGCCATTTATTTCGGTGTGTATGTGTGCAGTACATGTGCAGATGTTGTATATTTGTAGCTGGAATTCATTTTCACACACTGACAGCCACAAACAACATGAAGACAGAAGATATGAAACACAAGGCAATAAAGTCAGAATTGAAATAGCAAGAATATTATACTGAATTACATTAAATCCCAGGAATGAAAGAAAATTCCTGCACCAAATAAAGTGCTAAACTCATATAAATCAGCAGTACCCAAACTTTTTCATCTCATGTCCCCCTCAGCGCTGTAAGATGGACTAAAAAATATGATTCAGTTGTGATTAGTTAAAAGTTTTAACAGAAGACTTGTCCTGCTGCTTAGTAATAAGGTCCACGCTCTTTCAATTTAGGTTTTGAATATCAGGACATAAGTAGGCCCTAAAATTAGGCAAATAAAATTTCAGCAACAAAAAAAAATCACATGACATATTACATCATGGCATTATTTGTGTAACGCCGAAGCAATGGGTGAAAAAATAACTACATCATTACAGCTTCCACAGGAATTAAGTGGGTACTTGGTTAATTGTCCATCAGCCTGTGAAGCACCGGCTGCACTCAGGTAAGTGTTAACACAATGCCAAGGATGAAAGACGTCAGCAATAAACTTGGAGTAGCAACTGTTGCTGCCCATCAATATGGGAAGGGTTATAAAGTGAGAAACACTATTCGCAAGTGGGAAACATTCAAGACAGCTGCGAGTGTTCCCAGGAGAGGACGTCCCACCAAATTCGTCCCAAAGTCAGATCGTGAAATGTTCAGAGAAACTGAGAAAACAAAAGCTACATCTCACTCCATGCAGCTCTGAGTTAGCATGTTAACGTTTGTAACAACACAATTAGAAAAAGACTGAACAAATAAGGCTTGTTTGGAAGGGTCCCAGATAGAAAGCCTCTTCTGTCTAAAAAGAACAAGACAGGTTTACAAAGTTGGGTCTGAACAAAACCACAAGACTTCTGGAACAATGACCTTTGGACCAAAGTGGAGCACAAGCATATCAGCACAAATGCCTAAAACCAAGTGGTGGAGGGGTGACAATTTGCAGCCACTGCACCTTGAAATCATTGAGTTGTTGCCCATAAAGTCCTCTGTATACCAAAGTATTCTAGAGTCTAATGTGACGCTGTCTGTCTGACAGCTGGGACAGCTCGGTCAAAACTGGGTCATGCAACAGGAGCAAATCTACAACAGAATGGCAAAAAAAGAAAATAATCAGTGTTGTCAATATAATGGCCCAGTGAAAGTCCAGAAGCTTGTTCTTGCAAGGCTTGTTCTGTTTTAGTCAGTTTTCTCAGTACTAATAATAAATTCATTCTACCAGTTGAGCTATTCTTGCTGCCTGACTATTGCCTTAGTAGCCCTGAAGTACTTGCACCCCTGATTGGAAACTACTGCCAAAGACCTGACCTGTGATCAGTGTGCATTCACAGGGAAAGACGTGAGAGTGTGTGTTCCAGATATCAGAGAGCTGGAACCATGTAGTCCCCGATGGCTCTCCCCGAGAAGTTGGCTTCAGGACGAGGGAGGAAAATATGTCAACGCTGCTGGTCAGAGTCAAATAGTTGAACACTTTCTTTATGGATGACTGGAATAAGAGAGGAGGTGCCAGAGTTGAATTACGCAGCCTCAACAGGTTATTTTAGATAAGTTTAATCTCCCTTTGCCTCTGCCAAGAGCAACGGGCAACAACTTTGGAAAACAGACTACATGAAGAAAAGCAACCTGATAAAAAACATAGCCGGAGAAGGCACAAACAAAAGTGGCTTCAACATTTGGGAAACATTACGGCTAATTTCACAATAACTATGCAGTAAAAACAAAGCCTCGCTTCATGCCCGCATTTGGTGTTTTACTGAGTAGATCAAATCACTTCTGCTCACCCTCTCAAATCCTCAAGCAAGCCAGACATTGTTTCCAAAGGGGTCTCCCCAAAGGCAAAGCTGTGTGTGCATGTTTTCTTTTTCCATGCACTTGGCTCCAAAGATGGGGTGTCACATGACGGCTCATTCCTAGGGGTTGTCACGACATTTATAGTTACCAGGCTGTCATCAAAGACACTACTTTCTTTTTGGGTCCGTGACATCAGCCGGTACCCCCTGCAACCTCCGACCTTTACACAAACACACAGACTCTTCGATCTGCCTGCAGACACACAGCCAAAGAAGAGAAATCTGACTGGATTACTGCCACTTTATTATATTCCGTGTGTAGGGAGGCTGTAAATAAACCATTTAAAGTTACGGGCTTGAACTAAAGCTCAGGCTGTTGGTTCTCATATTAATAAATGCAAATATTAAAAGAACACATTGCAGAACTTTATTTCACAAAACATCTCAAATCCTTCTTACTGCAGAATCATTCATTTAAAAAAAAGTATGATGGCTCTCTTGATGTGGGTGGCAAGCCTGAAAATGTTAAGAAATAGTAGATTAGGATGTTGGTGGGGTTAGCGAGTGCATGTACTATGTGTGTTTATGTGACAAAGGTTTATTTAGGACATCGGGCCAGTTTAGGTCAGTCTGGAGCCTGAAGTCTGTTTTTCCTCTGGCTGGAAGCGAGGCAGCTAAAGCCTCCTGATAGCCAGAGAGTACATCCTAACTGGATTATTCAGAGTGGCGGGCTGGGAGACTAAAGTTAGAGGTGTCATTTCACCTCCTCCTGTGTGTGCATGTGTGTGATGGAAAATCTGAGTCCTCCCGCACTTAAAATGTTTCATGCCATTCCATCCAAAATACAAAAACAAACAGTGGCGTACAACAGTCATCTGTTTGCGACATATATAAACAGTTTGTTACTTCAAGTGCATCCACTGTTTGCTTTTCTGCATCCATTTATAAACTGTAATCCAACACAAACAAGTTTGTGTGTGTTGTTTTTTTGTTTTTTTTTAAATAAGAGAGGAAGTAAACGAGCTGCCATCGCTGAGAGAAATGTTGCCCAAACATGGAGGTGGTTCCTTCTATCGGACAACAATGGTATCAGGTCACCTGTTTGACTTCACAAAGCCTTTGATATTCAATAAACAACATAACACGTGACTTGGACAGCTGTGGAGATACAACACAGGAAAGGAAACCTCAGAGGTAATCCACTGGAATAACACTGAATTCCTCTGCTTGTACACAGTTGGCTTTCCAAAAATGAAAAAAGTGCCAGGAATAACATTTCTGAACCAGACTACAAGCATGATTAACACCTGGCAACAGTTCTGTTATTTTCCACAGGTTTCTACACAGGTGTGCACCTCATTTATCACAAACCTGCACATAATGCCGTTACAGCAGAACGTGCACTGGTAAATCTAAACCTTGTTGATTACAAAAAGTCTCAAAAGAATTTTTTCCCGATGCAAATGCTGCAACAACATGGATTCAGACTCAAATTTAGAGCCTGTTTTAAAACAAAAATATATGGCTCTTTTATAATATATATATGTAATGTATATGTAACTTGTTTACAGGCAGTTGGGTATTTGACCTTTGAGCTTTAAGATTACTGCCATCCACAAAAACAGCATCTCTCCAGAGTCCATCTATGGTAAGGAGGGGTGGTGGGTGGGGAACCCCTGCAAGCGAGCCAGCGGTGTGAAATATCAAAGCTGTTATCTCTGAGGTGAGCCGAGCACAGCAGTGGAAACTCCATGATGTCAGAGGCATGCATACTATTCATTCATATCCCAGATTGGTTTGGACACATTAAGGCGACCGTGGCCAGTGCTGATAGAAGGTGATGTTCGCATGCGCTCGAGCAACAACACCGAGCTCCGCCCCCCCCGCACGCCCAGGCTGTGGGCTAGCCTGAGGTAAGCTGAAACCACGGTGACACTTCACAAAGCTCAGCTGCAACTCAAAAGCAACATGTTATACGTTAGCCTAGTTTAATGAAAATCGAGAAATGGAAGCAGAGAAGAACTTTCCCTTAGGTAGTCAACTGTAAATTTAACAATTGTGCGCATAATTGGTGATTAACTTTCACTGAGCGGTCGCATTGGGTCACGAGAAGCCGGCACGTGTGTGTGGGTTTCTGTGTGCACTGAAACACTAATGAACTTGGAC